CAGAAAGGATTTTTTTGGCGTGTATATCGCAGATAAAAATAACCAAGCCTAGACGCTTTGCCATGACCTACTGCCCGCAGCCTGCTGTAGTTTGTAGCGGCCTGCGCCTTGCGCCGATGCGGGTCTGGACGAAGGAGTCTTCTCCGCTTGAACTGTACTCTACACTCCTTGAAGGGGGCGATATAGGGGATTATTTAGGGGACTACTACGACGGTTACTCAGGGGATACTTGGAGTTTCGACTCTTAACCGTAAACCTCAGGGTTATTAAGGGGGATACCTGACTATACCTTACTTGAAGACGCTACAGGGTGGAGGTTGCATGGTCTTGTGTAAAAAGTTGAGGTGAGTGCCTCTCCAGATGTAACGGGTATCCATCGGATATGCAAGGCCGTTTCGGGGGTGGGGCGCAGATAAATGGAGATGAACACCCTAAACTTTGGAGTCAATAGCATGATGTATAATGTATGTAGACATACGTACATATACGTATACAAACATAGATATATCCGTGCATACGTATTTATCATATCACCTTTTCCCTAAGTACTATGTGAAGTAGGTCAGGCAGGAATAGCTTCAGTATTAAGAGTGCGGCGGCCATGACGAGTAATGTAGACCCATGATGAATAACCCCCCTCTTTTTAAGGGCCTACTAATTACCCTAGTGTAATCCCTATTAAGGGGAAGGGTTAATTAATCAGGGGTCCGGGTTAAAGCCTAACCCGCAACCTTAGATCCTTGCAGATCGAGACCCCATCTCTGTGAGCAAGGCGGCAAGAGCGCCTATCCTTACCGTGGGAGCCTTTCTGAAAAAAGTATATGGGCTTGAGTATGGGTCTAAGGTTTCAGAGTTTTAGGGATAGGGAAAATCAAATGGAAGAGAAAAAGGGACATGTGATGGATGGAGATTGGGACGATACTCGGGCTTTGTAGGGAAAGTTACCCCCTAGTGCTATGGTTCTAGATGAGAGAGAGAGAGAGAGAGAGAGAGAATGGCATATCATATGTCAAACAGACTTCAACATGATACCTGTCAGTACTTATTTAGTTAGCCCCACCACATTACAATCCCTGAGGGGTCCTCCATTAATCCTCAGATATTCCTAGGGCTTTCAAGGGTACCATATTTTGCGAGAAGCCCCATGTCTGTTCCTTTTTGACGGGGCAGAGGCTGCTGATGAAAATGGAGGAGTTAACCCATAAGGGTTTGCAGGGTTTAGGGTTTAGGGTCTAGGGCTTAGGGTTTAGGGTCCTAAACTCTAAACCTCAACGCTTTGCTGGATAATTCTACGCGACCATTGAGCGGATCACGTACTAGTCCCTAAAACTGGAATCCTGGACCGTTTTCGGGCTTCAACCCTAAACCCTAAACCGCAAACCCTAAACCCTAAAACCTAAACCCTCAACCGCAAACCCTGAACCCTAAACCGGTTGTTTTGTGCGGTTTTTGTAGCCTTCAGAGCTGAGACAGCCGGGAAAGCAAGCCATATATTCCCCTCAAGTAGATAGAACATGGCTTCGGGTATATTATAATAAGATCCCCATATACCCATGTTCTATCTACTTAAGGGGGACTATATCATTAAAGCCTAAAACCTGAATACCCCTTGTTTAGGATCCAACGCACATCCCAAAACCCTAGCCCTAAAGCCTGTATAAACCATACCACTTTCTTTAAGGCTCCTAGACACAAGGCTCCTAGACACAACCCCCAAAAGCCTATGCCTAAGGCCTACACAAACCTTAGCTCCCCCTTGTAAAGCTCCTACACCCAAACTCCACAACCCTAAACCCTACACGTTATAGATCCATACTCCTATAAGTGGATCCGCCCTAAAACGCTGAATCCTAAGCCCTGAAGCCAAACCCAAACCTGCACCCTAAGCACTTTAACCTAAACCCTAAACTCTCAATCCTAAACCCTCATCCCTAAACCCTAAACCCCTAAACCCCAAACCCCAAAGCCGTATCCCTGTAGGTGGGCCCACGCTACGTGCGACCTGTGTGGCTGCCAAGGTGTCAGGTTGCGAGGCACCTACGGCATCCCTTAAAAGGGCTGGTTTGAGGATCAGGGTTTAGGCGGGTTTAGGGGTTTAAAAATTGAGGGGCTACACCCTGGGCCCCCAAAATATTTAGAAGAATGGCTTTGGGCTTTGAGCCCTGATTTTTCCTGTAGGATCAGGATTGCGGTCAGTGTGGAATCCTTAGGAGAGTATAGGGTTCAGATCCAGGGTTGAGCGTTAGGGCTGAGAATGTAGGATCTAGGGTTTAATGTAAATCTTAACCGTGCAAGACCAGGGTTTCCAATTCGATGGTGAACGGTATAGCAGGTGGTCCGCATTTGCGGTTCCGTTGACTGCTTCCATTCTTTCACCTAAACCCTAAACCCTACGGACGCCAAGGCTGTTGCGCTTCTTCTGGCCGCTACATTCATGGGTTGCAAGGTTGTACCCCTAAGGTGGTGCCACAGGAAATGAGGATCTTGCCTCAAAAGGATTACGTTGCTGCCTTGAAGGGCTGTAGAGTTGTTGCTCAAAATACCGGTTCCCAAAATGGCATGAGTGCAAATTCCCTTTTAATTCAGGATCCCCCTTAAAGGAACCCTGGTGCCCTTCTTTACAAGGACCTTATAAGCAAATCCGGGGAGAGGGAACTTATCTTTGATGCATGGCGTTTGTTAGGTGGTTAGCCTTGCTTCGTGATCTGTTTAGGGCTTACCTAGACCCTCCAATGTAGTTCCTTTTTGGGTTTGGTATGGTTTGTTGGCTAGGACTCTTATTAGGACTACCAAAAAGGTACTACATTTCGGGGTCTAGGTAGGGTTTATTAGGGTACGCAGCTGTGGGGGGCTTAGGACAAGTTTGACATTGACATGTCTCAAAACAATCCCCACACAACCCCCAGTAAGGACCCTCCAGAATCCCTGCATGTCCCTAGGGTCCCTAACTCCACCTCCTTTCTGATAAGCTCTCAGATAATTTCTGGTCAGCTGGATTGGGGGGCAGGCTGGGGCTTGCCAGTTGTTGCTCTACAAGTTGTTTTCACCAAATTTCCCAACATATGTGGATGATACAGTGCCAGTGAGCGGCTTTGGGGATAGACTCTGGTGGGGGTTCCTTCTTTTTGTGTCAGTATGTGTTGCAGGGCGGGCATTGAAGTTTTCAGTAGTGGGCTTCAAAATGAAACCTTGCACCCTAAGCCGTGAACCTAAGAATCCTGGCACCCCAGGGCGTCGCGGAGAGCGAGATGCGCGGCCGCGACCGCCTGCAGCTGAACTGCAGCCAAGTGAAAAGTGCCCTTATGGGAAATTCCTATAATCAGGGTTGCTGTATGTTAGATGTGTGTCAGGCGGAATCCTAGGTGTGAATATTATCCAACTGTCCTCGGCATAGTCCTTCAGGGGACCCCAGTGATTCAGTAGTATTCGGCATACTTGCAGTTTGAAGGCAACTATAAACCAAGAAAATGTTCCTAAGATAAACATAGCTGGCTTATAGATAGCAGTTGCGGCTGGGTTGAAGTCACCCTGAACCGAAGCCCCACACCCTCGATTTCCTTAAATGAATTATCATTACCCTGCACCGCCAAGTATGTACCCTGTGGCCCACTAGGACGAGGACCCTCTGTTTTGAGAAGCCCGCAAGTATTAGTTTTCTGGGTTTGGCGTTAAAAGTCTTGGGCTTTCTGGGTTAAGGGTTTAGGGCTTAGGGATTTCTGGTTTAAGGGTGTTTAGGGCTGTCTGGGTTTTGGGTGTAGGGCTTTCTGGGTTTGATCTATATACTATAGAGTTGAGCGTCTGAGCTAACCCCAATTACCTACAGCTTAGTCATGATCACCCCTTAGCCGATAGGTAAACCCCATAAGAGTAGGTGATTGGAGCTACAGGTACCCCCTAAACCCTGGACCCTAAACCCTAAACCCCTGAACCACATTATTTGGATGTAGGCCTTAGGGTTTCTCTTTCGGGGTTTCCGGTATCGGGCTTGAGGGGCTCCAGCTCCGGGTGCATGGTGGAGAGCTCAGGGCTGCTGGCTGCTGTTTAGGGTTTAGGGTTCAGGGTGAGCACTTCAAGATTTCGGGTGTCCTGGTTTTGGGTTCTGGATTTGGGGCTTGAGTTTTCTGCGTCTGGCTTCAGATTTTCGCGCCGTGGCATATAATCAGCTGAGAGGGATATTTCACCCAATATTTGTGGAACACTAGTCGCCCTCAACATTACACCCTACATGCTAAGCCACAAACCCTAAACAGTGAACCCTAAACCCTAAACACTAGTATTCTCCTTGGGACTTAGCTTGGGCCGTAGACCCTTGACCCTTTTGGGATTCCCTTATACTCCTATTACAGGTACCGAAGGGTTCACCCTTAGTAGGGGTCCTAAATACCACGTAGTACTTACATTGCTTCGGATCCCCATCTGTGCCTGTTACGCCAGACGAAGTGCGTGGAGGGACCAGCCACGGTGTAGCGCTGCAGGGTTCCCATCCCCTAAACCCGTGTTAGGATCTAGGATTTAGGGCTTAGGGTTTAGGGTCTGGGGTCCATAGGGTTAGGGTTTAGGGTCTTTAGCTTTCGGATTTAGGGCTCAGGGTTTAGGGTTCAGGGCTTAGGGTTTAATTAGGGACCAGGGCTGCTTCGTGGGCCCCAGGAAGGCCCAATCTTTAAAATAAGCATACAGGAACCTCAGGATCTGGTGCAGGTTGAGGCGAGTGAAAAACCTCTTCTGCCATGGCATGAAAGTGCAAGCTAAGCTCCTTTTTAGCAAGAACGAATGCACAATGGTGATGATCTATGCCTTACAGCATGCTGAACCCCTCGTTGAGCCATCACCTCGGCTCGGCAGGAAAAGCGCTTTCTGCACTCCTCCTTAGGTCAGCCCTTCGGGCTTGACCTACATCGTTGTGCCGGAGCTCTCAGAGCCTGCTTGAATGAGGCTGCCCAAGCAGGAAGCCTTTCCCCCTTAAGCGAGCCTCCAAAAGCTTGCACATTGCTTAGAGGTCTTTACACAACCCCTTTCCAAGCATGAATCCATCTCGAAATGGAATCCTTTGAGGCAACATCCGTGTATTGGAGATTGCACTTTGTTCGAAGCTTGCCATGTTTCCATAGCCACAAGACATACTTAAGTTGACGATCTGTGGGAAGTTCCCGCCCATGAACAGCGAAGCTCGGATCTGGTATGATCTTCAAGGCCAGTCTAGCCACCAGTTCTGGCTTCAACCCACTCAATGTCATACTTTCCTGTCGAAGCCCGGCTTTAAGTGCTTCAACACTCAGAAGAGACAACGTATCTCGACACAGCCGCTCGCGATCACAGCACCGAAGCATCTCATCATCGACAGAGGAAACGCTTGCTATCCCTGGTGAAGTTCTCGGCAGCTCCTCCTGACGTGCCTGCGTAAGGCGCGTCGCAGGAGGTGTCACGGGGTCCTGATTGGACTCACTCCTGTCTCTAAAGGACCCAGTCTCTTCAGAAGAACCGTAAAAGGCTGTTTGCACGGCTTGATGGATGTCAGATGAAGACGGTGTCTGGCTCTCGGTTTGGAGCCGGTCAATCTCAACCTCTGCTGCAAGCCTAGCAAGCTCTCTAAGGCGTCTCAGCTTGCTCTCCCTTTTCACAGAGCGTCTGGCACACCTAAACATCCACTTCACAAACTCCCGTATCAGCACAGCGATCACCGCTACACATCCAGAGACCAACAGGAGCTCATCCACACCTGCAGAAGCAATAGGATCCTTCGGAAACGTTTGATCCGCTGCCTCTGCTCCAGGAAACCGTTCCAAGACCACAACCATACAGCCTATCATGACCACATGGATCGCATGCAGTTGAACAGCTTCAGTCGACAGGCCTTCAAAACCCCATTGATGCAGAAGGTCCAGCAGCCTTGCTCTGGGATGCGCTTTCGTAGCCAAATCAGCCAGCTGATATCGTCCTTCTACATGACTCACATGCAAAAGATCTCGTTGTACTTGTTCTCGAACAAAAGCGCAACGGACACGCAAATGTCTTGTCCTCCATGAACCTGGTCCTCCACAAAGCATGGAGGTGGCAGAGCTGTTGTCTACCCGAAGGTGTCTGGGTACCCGGACTGTGTATATCTCATCCACCAAGCATCCTACACACTCCAAGAGAGTCACAGCATTGGTTGCTTCCAGCAGCTCGCTCTCCATGGTGCTAAGCGTAACCATTCCCTGCTTACCAGACTTCCAGGCTACCGGGGAACCATTGACAGTTACAACTGAGGCACCATACGACCGCTCACCATAAGGGGCAAAACTAGAATCGCTATAACCCTCTAGAAGGATCTCAGCAGAAACTGTGCTTGCTGCCGTTTGCTTGCTTGCTTGTGTTGCTGAGCTGCTTGTAGCTTCATCACGATCACCCAGAACCAGCTTCAAGTCCGCTGTCGACAGCAGGTACGCAAGTACCCGTTTGGCCACTCTTGCCACTTTTCGCGGATGCTTCGAAACCCACTGCGCCATATGGCCCACGACAAATTGGAGATCCGGACGACATCTCATTGTAAGCCAAAGCTGTTCTCCGACCATCCTTTGGCCAAAGCGTAATTCAGCTTCTGAAAAATCCTCCGGTTCAGGAGAAATGTCATCTGAAAGCCATTCCCTGGGGCAGGGCAACAAGGTTCCAGGAGATTCATCCATCCCATGGGAGCGCAGCAGATCAAGAATGTATCCCTTCTGATGGATCTCATATGCTCCTGATGGCCGTTGAAACACCTCCATGCCAAGGTAGCGAGTTCCTCCGCCTTCTGCAGCCCATTCAAGCTCATTGCAAGGCCATTCTTCTAGGATCCATGCATGAACCGCCTTGACCACCTTACGCGCTGCCACGTAGAACAGGTCATCTACGTAGGTTATGAGACAGCCCAACAGATCCTCTTCGCCTTCAAAGAAGATGAGCCACAGTTCCGAGTCAACCTTGGACATCTTGAGGACCAGGTACTTGTCTTCATACAAGATCTTGGCATTTGAAAACCTGGCCGAGCGGTAAGATGCCCATATCGCTGGTGACTCCCTAAGGCCGTACAACGGCCTCAAGACAAGCCAATAGGCCTGTTCTGAGACGTAGCCATTGTCGATCAAAAGTCGTGGTGGCGCTACTGCGTATCTGTGAAGATGGTCCGGCCAAGGCGCGAGGAGGAAGGCCCCGGTGATATCGGCGGTGGCGCCGAGCCACCCCTTTGTTGCAGCTATTGCCAGCACCGTTCTGAACGTTTCGGCCGAAGCGCCTCCAGCATACAGCGAGCCGAACTGTTCCTCAGGGGCAGCAAAATTGCCGCAAAGCACAAGGCGATATTTTCTCTTGTATTTCTCGCTCTTGTTAGCCGGGGGTTTGAGCGTATGTACGCCATTTCTAGGCACCAATCGTAGAACGCCTTGGCGTTCTAGACGCCGAGCCTCCCCTTGAAAGAGGTTGTCGAGCTCCTTGCGTATGGCAGCATGCCACCTATCAACAACCGGCTTGACCTGACAAAGCGGTACCGTATGTACGACTTGAAGGTCACCCTGCAGGGACTCAAGGAGATGCTCATAGTCCGGCTCGTCTACTTCAGATGCCGCTCTCAAGCACACCTTAAGCATAGCCCGATCTTGTCTTGAGAGTTGCTGAGACGCGTGCTTCAACCTCTGTGTTATGCTAAGCTGCACCTTCTCAGTCTCCTCCTCAACGAGCTTGCCGGCTTGACGCAAGTCTTCCGTCAACATGTGTTCTTCTTCCATGAGGAGCCTAAGCGAACGGCTTCTTTCCTGCAAGTCTTCAAGAAGTTGATGATGGATTTCATTGAGTATGAGCAGCGAAGAACCGCAGCCATCCTTTTCATCCTTGTTGACCTGGGAGTCGGACTTCTGGTCACCGTCCTTACAACCACCTTCGCAGACCGTCTCCTGATCACAATAAGGAAGGAAACCAAGATCTTTGAGGTATTATCAAGATTGGAAAGCCTGGGGGTGTAAGCGATGAGCATGACTCTTTCTCCCTTGTGAGGTTGTACTTCATGCCACCTTCGAGGATCAAAGGAGAACGTCTTGCCCTTTGCAGCCTCAAGGAACCTCCCCTTAAGCTTACAGCCCGGCTTCACTTCCTTGACCACGATGTCCTCATTTTCTGCAGAAGTCTCTTCATTTTCAAGCTGAGTCCAAAGCCCGCCACCTTCAAAGGACGTCAACGGACACAACCAGTTTCGTGATCCTGGAAGATTATTAAAATCACAGTGCGCTTGCCCTCCGCCGTTCCGCTGAATAGCTATGGCTGCAAACTGCTTGGCTCCCATAACCTCCCGAGCAAACTTGGCCAAGAACTTCGACGCATTAGGAAGCCTCTTAGCTCCGTCTCGCAGTCCGGATACACCGCCATGCGTAAAAACACCTGTTGCCCAGCTCGTTGCCCTCCCCCTTGGTTTGCGTCTCACAGCTCGAGAAAACAACTGCTGAACTTCTTCCAGCGTCTCAAACAACTGCATGACCAAGCCGGTGCTCATAATCCCAGCCTTCAAGTAGAAGTCTGCCAGCTCTTCCGCTCTGCTTTCTGGGTCTGACAATGGTCTCAAAGCCCTGATTGCTGCTAGCCCGTTACGCCAAACATGCCCTGATGGATCTCCAGAATCTAAGGGAACTTCGGGTGGTTCTGGATGACATTCAAAGGCCTTATATGCCATGAGACGCGGTCCATGTTCACCAAGAAACCGAACAGCTGGTCCTTCTTCGTCTGTCCAAACACCCGCTGCTTCATGATTTCCTGAAACATGCCCTGATGGATCTCCGGAATCTAATGGAACTTCGGGTGGTTCTGGAGGATCTTGTCCAGGGCGGAATTCATGGGGTCCAAGAGGCCTTTTTCCAGTTACCCTTCGTGAAGGCATAGGAAAGCTTGCTTCCACTGGGGCTAAAGGAATTGCACTATCAGGGTCCTCAAAGCCAGACCTCAAGTGAAGCGAAGTTACAATCCTTCCCGTTGGAAAGCGCACCACATGACCTTGCCGAAGCTCATGCGAAGGACCCACATAGACACCTCCCTGCCACCTCTCGTCCAAGTCAAAGTGGCCTCCAGTTCCATAGACCTTGTTCTTGACCAGCACAGGCGATCCAAAGGGTATCAGAGCTCGATCTCTGCCTAAAGCACATTCACGCTGCTGGAAGGCCGCAAACGCCAACAAGACGTGTCCAGGCCAGCCGCTCGAAGAAGAGTTTTTGTGCGGACCTTGGCCCGTTTAACGCCTGCTTCGTCTCTTCCATTCGTTTGTGGTGCCTGCGCCTCCCCAGTAGTAGGAAGCACATCTCTATGAAGCAGCCATGCGCGAAGTTTACTCCCTCGAAGTTCACGAGCTCGGTCCGAATGAACCCTAGTCACTGGAAGCCCTTCTGAACGTATCTGGAGATAGATCTGCTTCACCGCATCCTCAATCTCAGGGGTCAACCGAGTCTTCAAAGGAACGGCATAGTGAAGAGTTTGGTACTCCATGGTATCACCAACCTCCTTGTACAGGGCCTGGAACCGCTTGTTAGACTTATCTAGGTCTTCTTGATCTTCAGGATCTAAAGGTAGGTCAGCAGGTCCGTGCTCATCAAGGAAATCTCCTTCTGGGCCTTCAGCGTCCGAAAGGATCTCTGGCTCCTCAGGGATTGGGACATCCTTGTACACGGAGAGCTTGGGCATCAGGTATGTTCCAATTAGCGCGTACCTGAACCCCTTTGATCCGCCATACTCGCCCTTCTTCCTGAATGGTCCACACACATCCAGAGACAGGGTGTAACAGGACGGCGCTATGATTCTTCGATGAGCTCTCCCTGTAGCGGCTGTCTGGATGCAGGTCTTGAATCGCCGGTCAAATGGCAAATGGCCGTTGGCCACATGCCGCTTCCAGTACCGCAAGTCCTTGTCCGACCAAGGAGTGTCCGAGTCCAACTTGTGTAGCATGTACCCCAGAAACATTTCATCCGGTCTGAGGCGCCATCTATCCACTGCAAAGCCAAGGTCATGCTGGAACGGAAGCTTCCACACGTTGGGCCATGCCTTCGTAGTCAAACCTTCGGAAACTTCAACACTATCAGGAGGAAGGAGGCCGCCCTTCATAGCAAGGTTCATTGCAATCAAGTAGTTGGAACCATCCTCGTCAGTCTCCACCTGCATCATGGGGACATGATACTCTTGTCTAAAAGAGCTCCACATCTCAGACCTCCACATTGAACTTGACGGAGTTGAACCCAACAGCAGGTATGGAGGAGAAGCCCCATGCATGAAAGCTGCCTGGCGCGAAACAGCCCACAGTAGAAGCTGCTTAGCCAAAAGTTCATGACCATCATTGACCGGAGGACTTCCAAGGACACCCTCGATCTGTCCCCTCGCTGCTGCCCACATGAGCGCCTTGTACATTGCACTCTCACCCTTGATGGAGAACCTCTTGCTTCGAGAGAAGTTGCAGTCAACCGTCACCACATCCTCGGAGTTACTAATCTGCAGGTCTGCTTCACCTTCTCGGCGATAAAGTCTCACCACCCATCGCCTTGTCATCATAGACTTGCGCATGTTCCTGTTCAGCGGGAGCGCCTTGAGGTACTTCCAGCCTTGCTTATCATCCAGAACAACATGGGCTGCAGCCAGCGAAAGCACATCCGAAGACAGCTCCCCAAGAGGAGAACAGGAAGAAGACAACGCCTCGAGTAGGCATTCACGACCACCTGTGGCAACGAACTTCCCAAGCATAAAGTCCCAGGACTTCATTTCTTCATAGTCCAAGGTGCGAACAAACGTCTCGGCAGTTGAGGCTTCCAAAGACTGAAGGTGCTGTTCTTCCAGTTGGGATATTATCTCCAAGGCCTGGGTCTCTGCGAGCATCGGGTGGTTGCCCTTTACCAAGGTCTTCAGCACCCCAAACTCCGGATGAACGACCTTCAAGCCGCCCTTTCTTGTCCAAGTAAGCTCACATCCGAGCTGTTGTACGAGGGCTCCAAGAGGGAGAATTGAAGTCGCACCGGCCGCCTGAGGATCATCTGCAGCGGCTAGGAGTGTCCCAGCTCGATTTTGACCTCCAGCAAGTTCCACACGAACCGGGCTGGCCTGCTCGACAATCACCCTCTCTGCAGTTTTAAAGGCATGGGAGGCTCCCGAATCCAATAGTGCAAAGCCCTCTTCGCCCTCCAGCCCTGCCGCCTTGATTGCAGCACTAAGCTCGCCTACACTGGTGTTGGTTTGAACCTCCAAGGCCTGTAGCTTTGTTAGGCGCCTGAGCATCGCGTTAGCTTCCTTGAGAAGCTCCTTCACTTCTCCATCTCTTGAAGTTGACGTCTCCATTGACGAAGCCGGCAACGCCTGCTGGGAACTTGAAGATGCTGCCTCTGCCGGGCGTGAAGCTGCCTGGATCGACTCCATGATAGCCTGTTGGTTGTGCACGGATGCGGCCGGAGGTTGCAGCTGAAGCGAAGACACAGCAGGTGTAGAAGTGCTGGTAGTCAGGGTTTCTGATTTAGGGGTTGACTTAGGACCCTTTCCTAGCTTAGCAGCTACAGGACACTCTCCCCTTCTATGTCCCTGACTACCACATTCCCAGCACCTGGTCTTCTTATCTTCCTTGGAATCGAAGGTATGCTCATACTTGCAGCTTGACCCCCTCGAGCACCCAGATTTCGACAGGAAGTACTTGCAAGGAGCCTTGCTTGCCCTTCTTGTTGGGGAACTGGTAGGCGAAGTCGCTTCGCCCGTGCCTGCTTGGCCAGCACCAATAGCCTTCAGGGCCGCCGATGTCGAACTCATAGAGACTGGAGCAATCATCTGTAACTCTGCCAGAACATGCGTATGAAATCTAAGGACTCCATCCAGTGTGGGTCGACCTTGCAACTGAAGCTCGTTCTTCATAAGATCAGTGCGAAACTTAACTTCAGGATGTGCTGCCAACACCTTCTTCACCATAAGCTCAACGGCTCCCAGGAGGATCGAGGAGTCTGGGACAGTGACATTCATAGCCTCTGCCCTTTCAACGTACCTGCGCCACTTACGCAAAGCAGCCACACACTCATGAACATCTTCTCCTCCAAGACGGCCTTCCAGATGCTTCAAGACAGCGGCTCGCTCCGAAACACCTCCAGGTTGGTACAGCGCATGAAGTCTGTAGAGAAGCGACGGAACGTCAGCGATGCGATGCGTAATCGCATCTTCCTTAGCCGGCCTCTTCATCGCACCCAGCAACAGCGTCATTACACGCCTCTCCAGTCTGGCCCATTTCTGGTCCTTGAGCTCTTCCGGGATCGTTGGCTGAAGAGACAGTCTCGTCAGAGGAGACGCCATGGTGTATTGGACATAGGCCTGTCTAGCCACTTCCAGACATGCCGTAAACCACATAGAGGCTTTGTCTGACAAGCCTCCAACCGCTTGTTCCAGCTCATACAACCAGTCTGCAAAAGCAACCGAAGCCTCTGCTCCAAGGTCTGGCATGACTGGTATCTCCACGGATCCCTTGACCTCCGTATCCTTGGAGTCGGTTTTCCCTAAATACGCCTGTTGAAGTTGCCTCATTCCCTGCACAAGCAGGTGCAAAGGCTCATCCACAACTGTGCCTTTGTCCGCAGCATTTGTCTGCGTAGGGCCGGACTGTGGTTCAGGATGTTTATCCTGCTCGCCCGGCCTTCTACCATCCAGAACGCTACGATCATGCCGTCCCCCTAGATCTCTAGCAGGTACACTTTGAGGTCCTCCTGCCCTAAGAGGATTTCGGCCTGATACACCGGCACATCCATATAGAAGGTGAGGATCTCCTTGGGGAACAGGTGCCTCAGGCCTCTGCGCCGACAGGTTTGGAACAAGTTCACGGCTTGGACCACCATGCGACCTCTCTACAGAGACCCTTGCATCTAACCCTCCATCTTCACCAGGAGACCTTGAGGACGCTTGCACCGCCCTTCTAAGGATCTCGTTCTGTTGCCGAAGTTCTTGGAGCTCTAAGTCCTTGCTTGCCATAGCTATGCGAAATTGCTTTTTCACCTCTTCCATGACCATTTCGGGCGAAAGACTACTAGCGGAGCTCTCTTCTTGGGGGTGGAGCGGCCTTTGCGGACCAGGAGTCAACAACGAAGGCCTATCCGTCCACTCCTGCATAGCCTCAGCCACAGTCGGAGGAAAAGCGCTCCCAGAAGCTGGTACACCACTGCAGGTACCATCACCTGTAGCATAGGAGGTTGGGGGCTGTGAAGTTCTCGTAACATGTTGTATCACAGGGTCAACCACACGGCGCCTAATAGCCTGCCCTGCCCTTGTCAAGCCCGCCAAAACTCCTTGTCTGACAGCATGCTCTTGCCCCGGTTCTTGTCGCAAGTGAGGAGGTAGAGAAGGAGGATCATCCCTTGAAAGAAAGACCGAGTTCGAACCCTCCATACCGAAGTTCATGCCCTCTACCCCAGGTCCAAACACATCTCCAACAGGAAACACCTCTTGTCCTTGACCCAGCACCGTTTGAAAGTGTATCCGCTGGCTCATAGCAGCGGCTGCTGAAGCCATCTGGGATGTCCAGGATCTCATTGCCTGAACAGGCGGCGGGACATTCTGAGGATCTGGGTATCCTGAAGGAGAAGGTATCGGAGAGGAGCTTGAGGTGGGGTGACTTCTCTCAGCTTGCTGAAGGACTTGCTCATGCTGCCGCTGCTACTGTGGTGTGTTATGCATACTCAAAGGAGATGATTGGTGAAGCTGTGGATCTGGTGACTGCTGGGGCTGCACAGAAACTACCGACCTTTGGGGGGTTTCGGGGTTACCCTCTATTCTAGCATCACCCCTTATGATACGCGCCGTCGTGCCAGGTCCGGTTGTCGCGCGCAGTCCAGTCATCGCATCCAGTCCAGCTGTCGCGCCCAGTCCAGTTATCGCGCCCAGTCCTGCCGTCGCGCCCGGTCCGGGAGTCGTATCTTGACCAGCTGCCATGTCCAGTCTTGAAGGTTCTTCCTGCAGGTTAAGCGCTACCCTTCCAGCAGCATCCAAATAACCTCGTCGATGAAGATCTTGCAAAGCTGGAGCTGCAGAGCTGGAGGAACCTACTTCTGGAGCACCATTCACCATCACGTTCCTTCGAGCTTGAGCTTGAGTCTCTATGGAACCGTAGTTGGGCCCTGAGACTTCTCCTTCCAAAGCAGTAGCCGCGTTTGGGCTCCTAACCTCAGGATCTGGTGCAGGTTGAGGCGAGTGAAAAACCTCTTCTGCCATGGCATGAAAGTGCAAGCTAAGCTCCTTTTTAGCAAGAACGAATGCACAATGGTGATGATCTTTGCCTTACAGCATGCTGAACCCCTCGTACCTCGGCTCGGCAGGAAAAGCGCTTTCTGCAGAACCCTAGAACCCTTAAAGCCTGAAACCCTAAATCCTCGAGCCTAAACCCTAAGTCCTTGACCCTCAACCCTAAACCCGAAGTAAACCCCAAGGCCTAAACCCTAAGCCGTAAACGCCAAGCCCCTAAACTCTAAATCCTAAACCTATTTCAGAACTGAGGCACTGGCATGCAAAAGGCGGCGCCTGAAAGACAGGCCTTGATTGGCCCTCCCTTGGAGGATTTAGGATTGAGGGTTTAGGAGTTAGGGTCTAGGAGTTAGGATTGAGGGTTTAGGATTGAGGGTTTAGGAGTTAGGGTTTAGGATTGAGGGTTTAAGATTTAGTATTGAGGGTTTAGGGTTTAGGAGTTAGGGTTTAGGATTGAGGGCTTAGGGATTAGGAGTCAGGGTTCAGGATTGAGGGTTTAGGGTTTTCGGATGTAAGGATTCAGGGTTAGGGAGTTAGGATTTAGGGTTTAGGGTTTAGGATTGAGCGGGTAGGGTTTAGGATTGAGGGTTTAGGATTCAGGGTTTAGGGTGTAGGAGTTAGGGTTGAGGGTCAGTGTTCAGGTTTTTGGGTTAGGGTGAATTTGGGTTTCAAGATTTGCGGTTAGAGTGTATAGGGTTTAGGGATCAACGTTCAGCGCCTAGGCCTTGGAGGCCTTCATAGAGAATAGAGAAGAAAATGGACATGGATGAAACCTCAGATCATAGGGGCGTCTAGAAGGTTTACTTAGAGAGAGGCACGTGTAGTCAGGGCTTGGAATTCAAGGTGTTCAATTTAGAATTTCAGGTTTGGGGTTTAAGGCTTGAGGTTTGCAGGTTTTTCAAAAGGTTCAGGGCCTAGGGATTGCGGCATGGGTGTCGCATGAACCTGACACTGGTAGGGTTTCAATGCTAAACCCTAAGCCCTACCTGTGGCTCCAAAAACCTGCAGTTTAGTAGTAAGTACCCCTTAATTAGTATGTATAACCCATAAAACTGTAGGTTTTTGGGGTTACAGGTAAATCCTAAACCCTAAACCTCAAGAATATCGGGGACTCCTGGGCTGCTAAGGGCTCGCTCAGGCCTACTGGTAACCCAGACCCCTGATTAGTAGATCCCCTCCCCTAAATAGAGATTCTAAGGGTTTTAATAGGGCCGCTAAATAGGGATTATGAGGGTTTTAATAGGGATCCTCAAATTTGGTCCCTTAAAAGGAGGGTGTTTTTTTAAATCATGGGTTTACATTAGTTCGCTGGGGCAGGTTACGAATTGGAGGGTCTAGGTATTCTCATGGGCTCCTGCCCCTATACTGGCCCCTCCCCCTTAACTAGCTCTAACTTCCCATAAGCAAGCTTAGCTAAGGGGAAACGTAAGGGCGGTAGGTGTAGAACCACCCTAAACCCTAAACCCCTAAACCCTGAACCTTTATTTTTTCTGTACTAGAAGATGCCATCTGCTGGAACCTCCCAAATGACTCCCTAAACGAGGAGCGCTGTAGCTCTAATGCTTATGATCTAGCAGTTGGGCTTCTTAAACCCTACAGTCCCCCTTAAGACGTACGTATAGTCCCCCTGAAGTAGACAGAATATGGCTTTGGGTATATTATAGGGTTTAGGGTTTAGGGATAGAATATGGCTTTGGGTAGATTATAATAAGATCACCCATAAAATCCCATGTTCTATCTACTTAAAGGCGGACTATATACCTATACCCAAAACCTTCAGGGCTTAGGGTCTTCGGGGCAGCCTCTAGGATTTAGGTTTCTAGGGCTTATAGGGCCCAGGATACCGGAGTTCTCCGTAGAAACACACTTACTCCCACTTACTTACTGGTGCTTAGTAGGGAATATCGGAACATATGGTATAAGTTTTATCTCGGGAATATCTTCCCTTATTGCCTACTAGGAACCAGTAAGGTTACCTCTATAGAAGGTTTGGGTGTATATGTGGATTGGTAGCCTTAGAAACGCGGTCATTTGCATAGTTATTTTCTAGATGGTACAGATGTCTGGCATGCAGCATAGGTCTTTCAGCCTTGCCTGTGTCAGAAGTCAGTTTCAGGCCACTCAACACGCACACCCGCTACCTAACCCCCCAGACGTATGCAAAGGAGTCGCCTTTTGAGCAGTTTTAGTGTTGTTTTGTTCATTATCTTGCCAACTTTTGGGAATCCAGGTCTAAAAAAAACGTATCCCGGTAACAGCGTTAAAGATACCTAGGGGGTCTGGGTACAATGCACTAGGCATCCTGCGACGCCGAGCCCAGGGGAAAGGCACCCTCAAGTTGTTTCGGCGGCGGTCAGCGTGCCGTGCACGTTGCCCAATGGGGTCCTAGGGTTTAGGGCCAAGTTTAGGGCGTAGGGATTGTTATGGATGTCTATTCAGGGCCATGCACGGTTTCTGGGCGGAAGAGACAGGCGCTGAGCCTGGACCTTGTGGGCGGGATTCATAATCGGCCAACGGCTTTGGATTAGTAGTTTCCATTTTATTTCCATTATCCCAATATAACCCCCAATATAATATGGGAATGTTTCCCTAAACCCTAAACCCTGGGGGTTTTGGGTTGGCATTCAACACTTGCAGCAAGCTCAGAAACGCTGGTGGACATGGGAGCTTCTCAAGACAGCCCTTATATACTCCCGAATAATGACCTCATTATGCCCATATAATCCCTATGCATCCCTAGCCTGTCCCCCATTCATGTTGAGAAGCTCGGGGCGCGCGCCCGCTTGATGTACTGGGCTAGAAGATACTCCAGCAATTCGTGCAGAATGATGTTCAACCATCCTTCTTCGACCCTGGCGATTTTGAGAACTTCGAACAGACCCAGTGTTCTGTGGGGCGTGCTCGTAGTTTCCGCAATCTGCGTCCAGCAATCCCTCGCGGCGCATGACACAATCTGTGCATCAAGCGTCGAGGCTGTCAGGATTCTCCGGCCGGCGATGAAGGCACAGCAGCGGTGAGAGGGTTTAGGGTTTAGGGGTTTAGTGTTTAGGGTGAGATGAGAGAGGACTCTTGGCCACTTCTCGGTTTGTTCACGCCTGTTTAAATCAGTTGTATTGCCTGCTACAACCTCTACCTGTGCCTCGACGTAGTTCCTATGCATCCCTATCCTCCAAATGAGGAATATTCCCAAAGCCTCCAAGCCCCCAAGCCCTTAACACTTGAACCCACCTAACCTCAAAACTCTAAACCTTACCCCCCGCCCCCCCCTCACCCCCCGAAAGTCTATTTGTTTTTCCAATCCCGAGTCTTGGAAGCTTCTACATTAGCCCACCCCTAAACCCTAAAACCCTAAACCTCAATCCTCCCAGTTGCTGGAGGCTTCTTGAGCAATTCCTTCGGTGCTTGTCTTCCGGAAGACGCAGCTAAGGGCAGATTTTGAGGCGCTGCCGGGGGAAGTTGGGGTTTGGGATTTAAGCTTTATGGGTTTAGGGTTCGTTAGCTCTAAACCCTAAACCCTAAACCCTAGTTGTAGCCGGCTTACTTTATCGTTTTAGG